CAAATGATTATGTCGGTATTCTCGTGAGCCAGGATTTCTGACATGGCAAAAAGGAAATACAGACACAAGATGGGTGATCCAGTAAAAACCCACAGGCCTAAATCTGGATCAGAAGTTTCAGTATGAACTCATTATGCACTTCATCTTTTTTTTTTTTTTTGCGGTACGCGGGCCTCTCACTGTTGGGGCCCCTCTCGTTGCGGAGCGCAGGCTCCGGACACGCAGGCTCAGCGGCCATGGCTCACGGGCCCAGCTGTTCCACGGCATTGGTATCTTCCCGGACCGGGGCACGAACCCGTGTCCCCTGCATCGGCAGGCGGACTCTCAACCACTGCGCCACCAGGGAAGCCCTGCACTTCATCTTTAAAGATACATATTTTTTCAACCCTTGTAGACTAAGTCTTGGAAATGATGACCAACCCAATAACAGTAAGAACGGTTAATTTCCCGACTATTGTTTCTGAATACTATTTTCCACTAAAGGTAAGCATGGCTCCTTGGAAGGATGGCAGACTCTAGGCCTTGGGCAGGAAGTGTGCAGGGCAGGTGTTATCCTGTCATAACAGGAGTAAAGCCCCTCAGAGACCTCTGGGGTCAGGACAACAGGACTCAGAGGGCAGCTGGAAGAGGCTCCCACTGGTCAAAGATGCAGTACTTTGAACACGAATAACTGCAATGGATTGGAACACGTCAAATATGCTTTTGTCTATTTATAGTCATATATGTCGTTTTAAACCTCCAAGGTATTGGGAGGGTGTTAGAGAATCAATCATTCTGAAAACTAATAAATAGCAAGAAAGAAATAGGCATTTATCTGTAGTTTCCTATATGAACTGTACTTCAGGGGAACGCATAGTTCGTGGGGCGTTTTCCTATACAGAGGTAATCCAGGGAAGAAATGGAGAAGGAATGACAGAATTCAAATATCACCATTTTGCAGCCCTTAATGAATGAATGGGGTTAACGCACCCATCACCAATGGCTGCTAACGCCACCGAAGGAGACACCCAGACATTCTGAACCTCCTAAGGGAGGCCACAGCACAACCCAGAAAGCAGCCATCAAAAAAACTGAAACAGATTCTGCCTAAGCTTCTAGATCTAACTATCAACATTCAGGAAGCAGGGAGAACAGGGGAGCATGAGACAGGACACCACTGAGGCGCGATCAACAAAATCCTGACAGTGGGAAACTCTACAGGACAAACAAGCCAGCTTCTTCTTCATAAAGCTGCAAGGAGTACAAAAGGGAGACGGGGGTGGGGTCGGCGCGGGTGGGTGGGAATGGATAGATTAGAAAACACTTAAGAATCACACCGGCCAATCACAATGCGAGGACCTCATGTGGATTCTGATTCAAAGAAACTGCAAGCGACAATCAGGGAAATGTGAATAATGGCTGGATATTTGATGATATTGAGGAATTATTGTTAGTATTACTTAGTTGTGATAATGGCATCATCCATGTTTTTAAAAAGAATTCCTATCTTTTAGAGACACTTAGAAATACTTACAGATGAAATGATATGATTTCTGGGAGATGACTGAAAATAATCTAGGGGAGAGGAGCAGGTGGGAGCACAGATTAAACAAGGGGTTATTAATCTTCAAAGTGGTCCCAATGGCCAAATAGGGGACAATCTGGGCAACAAAGTAACAACAGGAATGGACTGCGACTTGTGGAATAAAACAAATATCCATAAGTACATGTTGGAATAAATAAAAAAGTAAATGGGAGAAAAAGGAAAGCTCTCTCTTACAGTAAATGCTAATCAATAAATATAGAGGGAACAATGGAAGTAGAAAACCGCCATTTGGCACCATGGTGACAACTGTTGCAGGTAAGAGGATGCTGCAATTAGGAGGGGAAAAGAATGTCAGGAGAGAGAATATTTACACAGTGTCCAAGTATTCCCCCATAAGATACTTATTAGTCACAAAGGGACAACAGTAACTCTGCAGTGCAGAAATGGGAACCTCCGACAGGCATCAAAGTGACCACAGCCTATAATGCGCAGAGCGCCCGCACATGCCTCCTGATGGGACACACCAGAGGGCACGGCACTGTCTGTGAAATGTATAACCAGAATTACATATGCCAGAAATGCATAACCTGAAATTAAATCATGAGGGAACATCAGGGACATTCTACGAAAGAACTGGCTAGTACTCTTGAAAACTGCCACAGTCCTAAAAGACAAAGACAGACTGAGGAACTGCTCAGAATAAAGGGTGCTAGGGGGCGTGACACCAAATATAACGTGTCCAAAAACAGAGGGTCCCTGGGCTAGTCAACATCTGTATCAAGGCTAACTTCCTGAGTTTATAATTGTCCTGTGGTTGTTACATAAGATGTTAGCCTTTGGGGAAGCTGCAGTAAGGACACAGGGGAATTCTCTGTACTATTTTTGCAACCTCTTTGTACGTGGGAAATTGCTTCAGAATGAACAGTTAAAAACAATTTTTAAAAGTGCTTATTAGTTGATAATTACTGAAGCTCAGTGATGGGTGCCTGGGGGCTTATGAGGTTACTCTCGCAATTTGCACAGATATTTGAAATGTTCCATGATAAAAATGTTAAAAAGAGAGGTTTAAAACACAAAACAACCTTATTTGGATTTGATTTTTTAAAAAATCTACATAAAAGACATTTCTGAGACAGCCAGGAAAATTTAAATATGGACTGGTATTAGATAATACTAAGGAATTACTATTGATTTTGTTAGGTAGAGTTTTTTTGGTTTGGTTTTCTTTTCCAATGTGATAAAATAACATAAAATTGACCAATGTAACCATTTTGAAGTATACAGATCAGTGGCATTAAGTACATTCACAATGTTGTACAACCATCACCACCAGCGAGTTCCAGGCATTTTTTATCAACCCAGAAGGAGACCTCGTACCCACGGGCAGTCGCCCCCCATCCCCCACACTCCCAGCCCCTGGCAACCTCTAATCTATTTTATGTCTCTGTGGATTTGCCTATTCTGGACATCTCATATAAATGTTAAATATATAAAACGTGACCTTTTGTGACTGGCTTCTTTCACTTACCATAATGTTTTCAAGGTTCATACACATGGTAGGATCTATCAGTATTTCATTCTTTTTATAGCTGAAATATTCTACGGTGACAATAAACCACATTTTGTTCACCCATTCATTTGTTGATGAACATCTGCATTATTTCCACCTTTTGGCTATTGTGAATAGTGCTGCTATGAACATGCGCGTGTAAGTTTTGTTTGAACACCCGTTTTCAATTCTTTTGGATATACACCTAGGAGCGGAATTGCTGGGTCATACGATAATTCTACATTTAATTATCACGGAACTGTTTTCCATACTGGCTGTTTTTCATAGTGGGTGCTCCACTTTACATTCCTACCAGTATTCCTGTATGAGTGTTCCAGTTTCTCCACATCCCTGCCAATGCTTGTTATTTTCCTTTTTTCTTTTAAAATTATCATGGCCATCCAAGTGGGTGTGAGGTGGGATCTCACTGTGGTTTTGATTTGCATTTCCTGAATGAGTGATGATGCTGAACAGTTTTTTTGCATGTGTGTGGTTTTTTTTGCCATGGTTAGGTGTCTTAACGCATTGTCAAAAATGCATTAATATGGGCTTCCCTGGTGGCACAGTGGTTGAGAGTACGCCTGCCGATGCAGGGGACACGGGTTCGTGCCCCAGTCCGGGAAGATCCCACATGCCGCGGAGCGGCTGGGCCCGTGAGCCATGGCCGCTGAGCCTGCGCACCCGGAGCCTGTGCTCCGCAACGGGAGAGGCCACAACAGTGAGAGGCCCGCGTACCACAAAAAAAACCAAAAACCAAAAACAAAGAATGGGATTTGCTTTAAAATACAACAGAAAAAAAAAGTAAATTTTTAAAGAGAAAGAAATGGGATAGAAGAAGGGAATGTGACAAAATCTTTTAATTGTTGAATCTGGGTGATGGATATATGAGGAGAATCACTGTTTTGTTGTCTCTGCTTTTGTATATATTTGAAATTTGTCACAATAAAACAAATTTTTAAAATTGTCACTGTGAAATGAAGTCATGAAAACCAAGTTATTTATTCCTGTAGTCTTCACTCATTCAAAACACAGGCCTCTCCTCTCTACCAGCTTCACCTGACATTGTCTAGGTGTTTCCTGGGGACCCCCGAGAACTGTATTTTCTGGCATCTGTGAATCTCAGGGGAGGTTTGGGCGCAGAGGTTCCAGACTTCCATGGCTTTGTGCTGTCTTTCTCTAAGCATCGTGAGAGACCAGTGCTCTAGACTGGAACACACATGGGAAATTCCGGTCCAAGAGTAAGGGAGCAGCATGGTGATCCTGGGGGCACCAGCCTCACCACAGGATGCTGACACTGTCCCCTGGTGCCGTGTCCAAAACAGACAGCAGGACAGCCCTGACCGCCGGCAGACATGTGCCCACTGTTTCTTCAACAATGCCATCAGGAACCCACCGGCCGGAGGGGACCGACTCACTCTACCTGGGAAGGGGAGGTGGGAGGATGGGCACTGGGGACACTAAAACCATAACTGCCTTTTTTCCTTTTAAGATGTATGTTTGGAAGGCAACCTGTCTCAAAAACAGTTAAAATGTAAAGGTGGCCAGGTGCATGATTTTACTCCAACATGTTCTTTTCATCTTGCTGTGCAATGTCTTTCCATGAAATATTTTTAATATATTGATAGGACTTGTCAATCCTTACCCTTCCAGAGAAGAAACAAAAGTGGCTTGAAAAGAGCCACAGGCATTTCTTTTTCTCACTCTTATACTGATACTAACTAACCAGGTGGAAAACATTCAATGGGCCTCCTTTGCTGTCTTTTTCCCTCTTTCCAGTCAGATCAGCTCTCATGGGGGGCGACAGGGAACCTTCGCAGGCTGCCTGAGCCCTCAAACCCATCTCCGGGGCCGAGGCCGCCCCGGGAGCACTCTGGGCCTCCCTCAATAGCTGCCCCCACACACGTGCTTCAGGACCCGCTGGCTTACCTGGTGGGCTTCCACCCTCATCTCCCGCAGAGCAGACTTGAAAAACTCAGGGGAAGGTTTCCCCACCACCTCAGCTTCGATACCACAGGCATACTGGGAAAAGACAGAAGGACATGGCATGGGTTTGGGAGCAAGTACAGGTGAACACCCGCTCTGCAGTGAAATCCTCCCTCCGGGGAATCAAGGAGAGATGCCCCAAATGTGCACCTGCAGGCCAGGGACCTCCAAGCGGCAAGACACATGGGCCGAGAGGCACACCTCGTAGGCAAGTGTCACAACTCCACATCGGGCTGCCCAGGATGCTGGGGGCACCCACCACCAGGCACCCTGCCACCTGCCCCAGTGCCGGACCTCAGCAGGAGGCGGTCCACAGCAGGCCACCCCGACAGTGCTCTCATCTGCATTCTTGCTTCTCCTCCCTTCCCTTCTCCCCCGACCACCCCCAGCTCTGTCATAGGCCCTCCAGGGGAAAAGGTCCAGGGCCCCATCCGCCAGCCTGTCCGTCCCTCCCACCTGAGTGCAAGTAGACAGGGACCAATGTAGCGGTGAGTACGGGACATGACATGGGCTGACCTGGGGCAAGAGCCCGGGCTGGGGCAGCTGGCTAGGTGTGAGTCAGAGCGGGAGCCCCATCTGAGCCCAGACTTGGAAACTGGAGGAGGGAACTGGGAAGGAGTCTAATCAGGACACATCAAGCTCAGGGTGCTGCAGAGGAGGGTCAGGAATGAGGCAGGTTCACACACACCCAGAAGCCAAGAATCTGAGAGGAGAGTACAGAGCATGCTGGGAGGGCCAGCGGGGTCAGCGGCAGGCGGTACGGGCTGTGGGGAGGAGAGGGAGAGACTGGGGGGCAGAGTGATGACCAGGGCAGCCGAGAGGCCAAGCTCCAGAGGAGGGGGAGAGCCGGGCTTGAAGCCTCAAATGGGGTGGGGGGGGGGTGAGCTGGAAAACATAGAAGGCACTCAGAACACTGAGCACACCCTCTTCTCCAGAAAGGCCAGAAACATCCCCGAGGGCCCTGAGACGTGACGAGGGCTCGGGCAGACCCAGGGCAGGTACCTCAAGCGCCTTCATGTAGGGACCAACGTCCAGCATCAGGCCAGAGGTCTCCTTGTAGTAGCGTCTAGAAAAGAGCAGAAGGGGACGAGGGGAGCTGAGCCCAGGGGCCTGGGAAGTGCCAAGAGAAACTGCCCTGTCCCGGTTCTGCCAGCTCCAGAGAGCTGAGTCACCGGCCAGGGTCAGTCCAGACGCCACGCTGAGAATGACCGACGGAGGTCGGCTCGACACAGCCCAGCGGTGGCCACCATGCCTGGACGAGAAGGGGAGAGAAGGTGAGTCAGCAACTCTCAGTCAGAATGGCCCCCTGCTGCCAGCCTCGTGGGGACCCCGCCACAGTGGGGGACCCCAGGGGCAGCTGGATCCAGTTGCTAACACAGAGAAACACAAGTGACCTGTGTTCTCGAAAGGACAGCTGGTCCACAGAGCATGTGGTGAACCCCTAATTGCTAATAATTAACCCTAATTGCCGCCTGGAGAAGAAAACTCCATTAGTTCCACAGCACCCTGCCACATCTCCTAGTAGCTGGGGGTCAGGAGAGGTGCCAGGTCTTACAGGCGCCAGATGCTTTTAGGAGAAGACAACTATTTGTTCCCCGTCTCACTGGGGCCAAGACGGCTTGGCTCACAGCAGGGCCTCCCAAGACGGTTTCACATCTTCCCTCCTGTGAGCGCTGTGCTAAGGCCCAGCTGCCACTGCCTGGCCACCCAAGGCCACACGCAGACCCCTTGGGACACACGGTGACCAAGCCCAGTTCTCTCTGAGCAAAGCCATTCGATTATAAAGTGAGAAGGTAGTTGACTCTGTGCTGCTCTGAAGACAGGGTTAACGGAAACCCAGGACTGTCACCATGTTTTCAGACCCGTCATATCAGTTACCCTTCTCCCTCCCCTCAACCTTCAAATTTGGGAGACGTTAAGTAACATGTATGTGACCTAAATGTCCACAGACATGAATGGATTAAAAAGATGTGATATATATACACACACACACATATATATATGTACACACACAAACACAAAATGGAGTACTACTCAGCCATAAAAAAAGAAACAATGCCATCTGCAGCAACATGGATGGACCTAGAGATTATCATACCAAGTGAAGGAAGTCAGACAGAGAAAGACAAATATCATATGATACCACTTACATGTGGAATCTAAAAAAATGATACAAATAAACAACATGTATGTGGAAAAGCAAAGAGAAGGCTAGTGAAGCATGCTGACCTCAGGGTTTCAAATCCTCTTTCCACTTCTTTTTAACTGTGGGACTTCGGGTGGCTTAAGCCCTCTGGGCCTCGGTTTCCTAATCTGTAAAATGGGCAAAAAGAAACTCCAGTACCTACCCTTATGGGTTGCTGTGAGGCTTGAGCAAAATAATGCAGGCGAAGTTCCTAACACGATGCCTGGCACGCAGAAACCGCTCCAAAAATATTAGAGAACACTGTTATAAATAACTGCTCACCCAGACTGAGATGGGTAATAGGATATGAGCTGGGGGGACTTCCCTGGTGGCACAGTGGTTAAGAATCTGCCTGCCAATGCAGCGGAGATGGGTTCCATCCCTGGTCCGGGAAGATCCCACATGCCACGGAGCAATTAAGCCCATGTGCCACAACTTCTGAAGCCCACACACCTAGAACACATGCTCCACAACGAGAGAAGCCACCGCAATGAGGAGCTCACACACCGCAACGAAAAGTAGCCCCTATTCGCCACAACCAGAGAAAGCCGGGACACAGCAACGAAGACCCAATGCAGCCAAAAATAATAAATAAATGAATAATAAATAAATTATTTTTTTAAAAAGAGATATGAGCTGGAGAAGAAAGGATGAACACAGGTCTTTCCAGTTTGTGGGGGCTGAAGCCTGCTGTGTGACTACTGGAAATGGTAGCACAGCTCGGGAGTTGCCCCAGGGCTGTGCCTTTCCTCCAGCTCTGCGGCTCCCAGGGATTCTGCCTGTCCCTCTCTGCCCCACCTGAGGCCTCCAAGGCTGCAGGAGCCTTGCTGCCCGCAGCGTTCACCTGGTGCTCAGGTGGGACTAGCGCTCTCCCACTCCGCATCCTCCACTGCCCACCTTGGAAGCTTCCGTCTGGATGCAGGCTGGGCTGCAGGGCTGTAGCCAAACCCTTGACCTTGGCAAGGGCTGGTCCCCTGCTACGCACTCCTGTCGGGTGGATTAGAGCCTGGAGCCCGATTGTTGACGCCATGGGGGCATCTCCCATCACGACAGGACTCGGTCTCCAAGTGAGCCTGGGCCTCTCGGCCGGGGTCCGAGGCTCTGTGCTCTTGGGGCCGTGCCACGAGGATGTGGGATACCACACACATGCAGGAAGGCACCTGGTAGCCAAGAGAGAACGGCCGCTGCTTACCGAGCTAGGACCTGCAAATGCTCCCATTTTTAAAGGGTGACCCTAAATCACAGGCTTAGAGGTTCCTAATCTCATTTATCTTAAATCTGGAATCTAGACATCTATTTTGCATTTATACAGCCTCAAAATAGTGCTTCCTTTTCTTTTTCCACGATCAACTACTTTGGTATGACGCTTTCCCCAGGTCATGGGTCCAGGGTTTCCTAGGTCCAGGGTTTGAAGGAATGGCCAAGTAAAGCAAAATTTGCCCAAGAGGCAGAGGGAGATGCTGGGTGCTGAGGCCTGGGCTTGCCGGGGGGCAGTGGCATCTGCTAACACAGTCCCCCAAAACATTTAGGACGCAGATGCCCCACACCCTTTGCAGGGGATGCTCTCAGACCCAGGCTGCTCCCCAGGGACTCTCGGTCTCGGGGGGAAGCAGACAAGTCCACAGACAAATATAAAAGGGCAGGACATGGGTGACAACAGGTGGAACCCCATGCTCTGTGCACTCTGCTTGAGGAGGGCTGGACAGGCTGGGGACAGGAAGGCGGGGAGGTGGCCCAGAGAAGGACACATCAAAGCTGAGACCTGAAGCTCAAGGGGGAGGAATGCAAGAGCCCAGGCCCGGAGCCTCCCGGACTCGGCACCCTGCTGAGGGCCCCAAGGGCCGGACGCTGCTCTAGGCGCACGGGGGTCTGTCAGGCTCTCAGGGAGACACCGCCTCGTCCCCTGGCCCCCCATGAGATGCCCGCTGCGGGAGGGGCCAGACTGGGAGGGCCTCCCCGAGGACGGGCATGTTGAAGCGAGCCAGGCAGGGAGGACGGAGCTGAGGGAAAGAATGCGGCCAGCATAGCAGAGGCTTAGCCAGGCACCAAGGAAACAATTATAAAACAGGCCACTCTGTCGCGACAGACACAGCTCTGTTTGGAGCTGAGGGCTCCAGCCTCAGCTCGGAGCGGTGTGGAGGCGGCAGGGGCTGGGGGCCCCTCCCCTCGGTAAGACCTCCCGAGGACACCCACGCGGCACCCCTTCTGCCCGCCTCAGCCTCCCCCAAAACCTTTTTTCCAGAGTGACAGATACCTGCGCTTTCTTAAATTTAAATTTAGTCCTGGTGGGAAGAACAAACCGAACATGCAGCAGAAAATACGCAATTAAAAGCCTGTCTTTGCTACACTGACTTTTAGAACCTAAAGGAAAAACTGACTTCCATAAATCAAACTTGGAGAACTTAGTATTTGTGTTTTATCTGCTTTTTTTTTTTTTGGCTGCGTTGGGTCTTTGTTGCTGCGTGTGGGCTTTCTCGAGTTGCGGCGAGCGGGAGCTACTCTTCGTTGAGGTGCGCAGACTTCTCATTGTGGTGGCTTTTCTTGTTGCGGAGCACGGGGTCTAGGCGTGCAGGCTCAGTAGCTGTGGCGCGTGGGCTCCAGAGCTCAGCTCAGGCTCGGTAGTTGTGGCTCACGGGCTTAGTTGCTCCGCAGCATGTGGGATCTTCCCGGATCAGGGCTCGAACCCGTGTCTCCGGCATTGGCAGGCAGATTCTTAACCACTGCGCCACCAGGGAAGCCCTGGCCTTGTTTTTATAGTGCCCAGAATTTGTCTTTATTTCTTCTTCATCCAGGAAAACAAAAAGGCACCTTGAAGGCCATCTGTTAGCTGAAAACATTTTTAGAGATACAGTAAATACTAGCACCTAAGTTAACTTTTTTTTTTTTTAATCATAAAGGCCCAGGTTATTCCCGAAACACAGGAGATCTGATATATTTATCTTTTGTTACTGGCATAATAAAAGCAACAGCAGGTCTGGTGAGAACCTGAGTGTTCTGGCCACAAAGAAGAAACTGTGGATTCTGGAAGGACAGGGAAAAGCCGGAGAGAAGCAGTCAGATAGATTTTATGCTTTAATTCTTCTGCCCTTCCGATTATTCAGCACAAACTCCCTTCAAAATGACCACTTGACCTTTCCCACAAGAGCCATTAACCTTCCATAGGCTGTCGCGTAAACAGCTTAATTTTCTGAGGGCAGCATGACAGAAGAAATTACAAAGGCAATTCCCACTCTCGGTCCAAACAGATGCCAAATGTAAATCACACCGTTTCTAGGAGGAGGACACTCTGCCCCAGTGCCCCCGCCACCCTGCCTCCTTGGGGACTCCGCACAGCCCCACTCCAGTGGAGGACAGCCCCTCACCATCAATGACCCCCACGTGGATGCGACAGCAGCTCTTCATGGCTCCTTGGGCTGTCCCGGGAAGCTATGACCTAGGCCCAGAAGCTGTTGGTCCCTTTCTCTGATTTTTGAGTACCCAACCCATAGCCTAAGCCACAATCCCCAGCAGCTAGAGACCCCACTAATTGCTTATTTGGAAAACAAACACTTGCCTACTGTTGAATGTGTTACAGAATTACAAAGCTAAATGAAACTGATCTCATTTTTTTTTCGTTTTCAACAATATACCTATTTTGACTACTACCCCTTATCTGGAATAGTAACTTTTAATAATTAGAGACAATTTTAAAGAAAAAAATTTTAACATAAATGAGTTATAACAGTTTCTTTTTTTTTTTTTTTGGCCCCACCGTGCGGCATGCAGGATCTTAGCTCCCCGACCAGAGACCGAACCTGTGCCTGCTGTGTTGGGAGCATGGAGTCTTAACCATGGGACCACCACGGAAGTCACTAAAACAGATCTTCTTAATTGTGTTGTTCTTTAGTGAGGGGTTGGTGACTTCAGGGATGCCTACAGGACCAAGCCAGGAGGGTAAAAGAATTAAGCAGGCCAGGTTCTGTGGTTTGCAATGAACTAAGCTGAAGAAGGTAAGGTTTGGAAGGGACTGTGACAGTTCATTTTATGTCAACTTGGCTGGGCCAAGCTCCCCAGATATTTGGTCTAACAGTATGCTGGATGCTTCTGTGAAGATATCTCTTGGGTGAGATTAACATTTAAATCAGTGGACCTGAGTAAAGCAGATTGCCCTCCAGAGCGTGGTGGGCTTCGTTCAGTCAGTTGAAGACACAACCAGAACGAAGTCTGAGCTCTGAGCAAGAAGGAACCTGCCAGCAGACAGCCTGGCATTCAGACTGCAACTCTCCCCTGCATCTCCAGCCTGCCGGCCTATGCTGCAGATTCTGGACATACCTAGACTCCACAATCAACTTCTCTTTATATACACATCTTCCTCAACTTACCATGGGGTTACGTCCTGATAAACCCATCATAAGTTGAAAATATTGTAAGTCAAAAATGCATTTAGGGCTTCCCTGGTGGCGCAGTGGTTGAGAGTCTGCCTGCTGATGCAGGGGACACGGGTTCGTGCCCCGGTCCGGGAAGATCCCACATGACGTGGAGCGGCTGGGCCCGTGAGCCATGGCCGCTGAGCCTGCGCGTCCGTAGCCTATGCTCCGCAACGGGAGAGGCCACAACAGTGAGAGGCCTGCATACCACACACACACAAAATAAATAAAATAAAATAAAATAAAAATGCATTTAATAAGCCCAACCTACCAAATATTATAGCTTAGCCCAGCCTACCTTAAATGTGCTCAGAACACTATATTAGCCTACAGCTGGGCAGCATCATCTAATGCAAAGTTTATTTTATAATAAAGCATTGAATATCTCATGTATTTTATTGAATACTGTACTGAAAGAGAAAAACAGAATGGCAATCTGGGTACAGAATGGTCGTAAAGTGTATCCGTTGTTTACCCTCGTGGTCGAGTGGCTGCCTGGGACCTGCCACTTGCTGCTGCTGCCCAGCATCATAAGAGAGCATCATATTGCGTACGGGAAAAGATCAAAATTCAAAATTCGAAGTCTGATTTTTACTGAACGTGCGTAGCTTTCACACCATCACAAAGTCGAAAAATCATAATCTGAACCATCGCTAAGTCAGGGACTGTCTGTATATACGTCTCCACATCCTGTTGGTTTTGTTTCTCTGGAGAGCACTGACTAATACAGGACACATTTTATTTTCATCATAAACACACGAGAATATTTGTAGCTCCAAAAAGAAGTATATCCTCTCTTCTCTTTCTTTAAATCTTTCATTTGCCTATTTTGAAAGAGACATAGCCATGAAAAGATATTTCTCTACTATGAGAAAACCAACAGTTGGTACAAGATGAACGGCAACCAACTCTGAAACCTGGAGAAGGGGCAGGAGGACACGGTCAGGTCCATGGTGCACCGGAACTAACGGACCAGTGGCTCCAGCCAAGCTGTGGTGCTCTCGGGAATGTGGGGCCAGGACTGCCAGATCTTCTGATTTCTCAAAAGGATCCAGAAATCTGGTTATTTTACGTAAAATCTCCCAATTTTTAAAACAGCCTCAAAAAAATTTAAGATCCTGTGTGGACCAAATGTCTGCTCTTGAATGTAGCCTAGAGGCGACAGAGCACAGGCTCTGGGGGGCACTCCTGGCCATCCTGGCACTTACAGATGGGGGGACCATGGCTTACTTCACCTCCCTATGCCTCAATAGGCCCATCTGTAAAATGGCAATGACACTGCCTACAGCTCAGCGTTGTGGTCAGAATTAAACATGGAACTACATAAAGTGCTTAGCAATGGCTGGCGGCCAGATAAAAAGCCCCCTGGTGTCACCTGGAATAGCTGCCCTGCTCAGCAGGCAGAGAAAGGAAGTTCCCAATCACCAGAAGCACCTAAGCTGAGAAAGGCTCCCCCAGAGATGGCCACAGAATTCCTGCCCCGCACGAGAAGCTGGGATAGAGCTCCACAGCATCCTCGTGGTTCTAAAATCCTAGTGTTGCTTCCATTGAGGACAGAATAAATCTGCACAGCTTTCTGGAAAGCAGCTTGGCAACATACATTAAGAACCTCAAAAATACATATCATCTGAAATGCACAAAGATACCGATCACAGCCTTACTTTGGTAGAAAACTAGAAACAACACAAATGTCCATCAGCAGGCGTTGGTTACAATAACTATAGGAGAGTTATTTTTTTAAAAATAACTGTAGGGGCTTCCCTGGTGGCGCAGTGGTTGAGAGTCCGCCTGCTGATGCGGGGGACACGGGTTCGTGCCCCGGTTCGTGCCCCAGTCCGGGAGGATCCCACATGCCGTGGAGCGGCTGGGCCCGTGAGCCATGGCCGCTGAGCCTGCGCGTCCGGAGCCTGTGCTCCGCAATGGGAGAGGCCACAGCAGTGAGAGGCCCGCGTTCGGCAAAAAAAAAAAAAAAAAAAAAAAAAAACTGTAAAAACAGTTGACAGGAATAACCTCACCACAGAGACATCTACTTATTATATGGAAAGTGGTTCACAGAATGTTTGGTGAACAACTAAAAATGGGTGACAGAAGTAGGTCAAGTTTGACACTGATGTAAATACATGCATGTGTAATGATCTCTCTGCACAGGAAACCACTTGGAAGGACGTATATCAATACGTTGACAGTTGTTTTCTCATGCGGTGGGACTGGAAATTCTTTTTGTTTTCTTCTTTTTGCTCATCTGTATTCTCTAATTTTTCTTCAGTGAATATGTGCTGTCTTGGTGGTAAAAGATGGTAAGAAAAATAACCAACATGGCTTTTTAAAAGAGAAAGTGAGGCTCAGGCTGAAGACTCGGACAAAAATGTTGGTCACAAAATCACAACTTTACACAGACTGTGCTGTGCGGCCAGAGATATGGGGCCCGGACAAGAGCATCCCACAGGCCCTCGAGCCTATTTTCTACTACTTAGGTGCCCCCTTGGCCCAATCCATCCAAGTTTTGTGCTGTATCCTGTGAAAATGCACCTAAACTCAGGACAGTCAACACAGGCCCCTGAGATCTCCAGGGGTCTCCTCTGCAGTGACCCTCCCCTGCCCCTGGCCTCTTCCAGCCTCGGGCCCGCAGGGAAGCTTGACCAACCAGCTCCTAAAGACAGGGAATTTCCTCAAAAATTATCAAAAGATAGGAATGAAGAAATGAAGGGGGAAAAAAAGCAAGAAAAGGGGAGGGAAGGAAGAAGGAGTCACCCTGCGTCCACCCCACACCCACTTTTCCCGTCTTCTCTGCTGATTCTGTTAAGTCAGAGACGCACAGAGCATGACCCAAAGTGGCCATGAACGACTCTCTCTGCAGCTGACTTACCCTTTTCCCAGTGAGAAGAGCACAGGATTCTCCAGCTCCATGAGCACCTGGAAAGCTTTATTCATGTTTTGATAAGAAAAGCCTTCTCCTGCATCTGCAATTACGACACAGTTTGGGTTGGATGTGTCGATCTGATCAAATTCCGAGCGGACTCCTGGTGAGACAGACAGAGAGAGAGAGAGAGAGAGAGAGAGAGAAGGATAAAGCCCCGGCTGACATGGCCCACCTCTCATCTCCTTCCAGGAACATCTGTGTCTGCCTTGTCTGCCTGGCCCTTTCTCAGATGCTCTTTCTGATCGTCAAGCTGCCATGAGAGGTGGGCAAGGAAGGGGTGCTAGTCCCATTTTACAGATGAAGGAATTCTGGCTCCACACAGAGTGTGTGTTAGGATCCTGAAAGATGATGGGCCCACCCCTGGCACCCCCACTCCAACACCAGCATTACCCCAGAAGTTCCCTTAGTTCAAAACCATAGGCAGGAGACTTCCCTGGTGGCGCAGTGGTTAAGAATCCGCCTGCTAATGCAGGGGACACGGGTTCGATCCCTGGTTGGGGACGATCCCACATGTCGCGGAGCAACTAAGCCCGTGCACCACAACTACCGAGCCTGCACTCTAGAGCCCTCGAGCCACAACTACTGAACCTGCGTTCCACAACTACCGAAGCCCATGCGCCTAGAGCCCGTGCTCTGCAACAAGAGAAGCCACGGCAAGGAGAAGCCTGCGCACCACAACGAAGAGTAGCCGCCGCTCGCCGCAACTAGAGAAAGCCCGCGTGCAGCAACAAAGACCCAACACAGCCAAAAATTAATTAATTAATTTTTTAAAAAACCAAAACTCAGGTATCTGTCAACCGGGGAACGGATAAACAAACCATGGGATGTTCACTCAATAGAATGCCACTCCGCGATCAAGAGGAAAAGACCTACTGACACGTGCAGCCAAACAGCATGTTGGGTGAAAGAAGCCGTGCACACTAGGAACGGTTAACTCAGCAGGCCTGGGCTGCTCAAACCCTGCACATCCAAAGAAAGGCTGTCTTCAGATCAGGCCCACCACCACCTCCCGGGAGATCACCTCTGAGCCCTTGGAATAGTCTGCCTGGAAAGAGTGCTTTTGTGTGTCTGGGGCCCTGGGCTATGCTGCATCAGTTTGACACCTGGGGGCCTGGAGACAGAGTAGCCAAGGTCAGTCACACGGGCGCTGCATGCCTACCTGACTGACCCTTAATAAAACCCCCGGGCACGAGGCTGCAGTGAGCTTCTCTGGGTGACCACACCTCAGGCGTACTGTCACGCATCGCGCTGCTGGGAGAATGAAGTGCGTCCCAGCACGACGCACCTGGAAGTCCGCGCCTGGATGCTCCTGGTCTCTGCCCACGCATCTCCTCCCTTCGCTGAGTTTAATCTGTATTCTTTCACTGTAATAAACCATAACTGTGAGTAGGACAGCTTTTCTGAGTCCTGTGAGTCCTTCTAGCAAATCATCAAGCCTGAGGGTGGTCTTGGGAACCCCCAAAACTAGGTGCTGTGTGATTCTATTTATATGAAATTCTAGACACAGTAATCTGATTTATAATGGAAAAAAATCCAAACAGTGGGTGCCTCTGCAGGGGTTGGGGATGGGGACTAATAGGGAAGGGCATTAGGGAACTTTTGGGGTGATGGTAATGTTCTAGGTCTTTTTTTAATGTATATAATATATATATTTTGGGGGGGGCTGCATTGGGTCTCAGTTGCGGCATGCGGACTCTGTCGCGGCATGCACGCGGGATCTAGTTCCCCAACCAGGGGTCGAACCCAGGTCCCCTGCATTGGGGGCGTGGAGTCTTACCCACTGGACCACCAGGGAAGTCCCAGTAATGTTCTAGGTCTTGATAGGGGTTTGAGTTACACAGATGTGTGCATTTTTCAAAACTCAGCAAAAGCAGACTTGAGATTTTTGTATTTCATTGCATGTAAATTTTACATGAAAAGAAAAAACTAAACAGATTGAACTCTAGTTAATGATGTGAAGTGTTTAGGGGAAGTGTACCAATGCCTGCAAGTTACTTTGAGATGCATCGAAAAGATAAAGATGGATAGATGGATGGAGGGATGGGTAGATATATAATGAAGAAAATATAGCAAAATGTCACTGGTAAAATCAAGGTTAAGGGCGTACAAATATTCCAAGTAAAATTCTTCCAGCTTTGCTGTACATTTGAAAATTCTCATAATAAAATGTTGGGGGGAAGATTTATCGACAATAAAACTTGAAAAAGATTCAAAGTCTGAATAGTCAGGTACACCTATGGAAAACACAGACGCAGGATTACAGGTGAGGAAGGGCACCTGGCTTCCCCTTCAGCCTCTCAAGCTCTAACATCTGCCTGTTGGACTCACTGATGAACGATGCCTTCAAGGCAAACTCTGAGTTTCCCTCTCACCTCTGGTAGTTCCACCCCAGCCCTCCCTTCACCCTGGGGAGGGGAGGATTTTCTTTCTTAAGTTTTTCTGTTTCTTTAAGGACCTGTTCTAAAGACACTGGCAGGGATCCTAGATCACAGAGGAAGCATTTGGAGAAACACGATTTCTAAGGGCTGGGCATGTCGCCCTCGACTGGCGCCAGAGTCGTGGACTGGACACCCGGACCTCCAGGGAGCTCCCTCCATCTCTTGGAGGCCCGCCCCTGTCCGGAGGCGGAAGATCATCCTTGTCTCTGCCAGAGGTTTGTAAATCAGAACACCAAGTGCGAAGGAGGGCGGAAGGCTCGGCGCAGCTAAGGAGAAGTGTCCCGAATTCTGAAGCGTTGCTACGTCTCTGCTTTTTATCTTTTTGGCCGCACCGCGCAGCATGTGGGATCGCAGTTCCCCGACCAGGGATTGAACCCGCGCTCCATGCATCGGGAGCGCAGAGTCTTAACCACCGGACTGCCAAGGAAGTCCCTCTTCTTTTTAAATATTCAGAAGGCACCAGGTAATGCTGCTCCTTCCTCTCTGTTCCAGCAAAACTCCCCGCTGAGGGTCCAAGGGGCTCTTTTCCTTCATTCAGACTAATATCAGGAAGGAAACCTGTGCCGTTTGCCAGACAGCAGGGCTGGTTTTCACAAATACAGTTCAGAAACCTATGGGCCTCAGTCTAGCTTTTCATCCCCCCCTCTCTGTCTCTCTCTGTCTCTGTCTCTGTGTGTGTGTGTGTGTGTGTCTCTCTCTCTCTCTCTCACACACACACACACACACACACACACACACACCCCAGAGGCTAAAATCTTGCCCCCTTGACAATTCCTTGCCACCTTGCTTCATCCTAGATCACAGAAAGCAAATTCAGGGTTTTCCTCTGAGGAGCCACCTGGAACCTGCCTCCAAACACCCTCCGGTATGAGGCCGGGATGGATGGGGCCGGGTCCCCAGCAGGGAGCCCACAGGTGTCAACGGGAGCCACGTGCTACCTCTGTGTCCTGCCCGGTGGTCTGGTTCAGGTGAGAAGGGGCCCCTCCCCAGCCCCACCTGGAAAGGAGGCGCCTTCACCCCAGCCAGGTCCCAGGGCCCGGCAGGCCTACCGTCGTGGATAAGCAGGTGTGGCCGCAGGCCTCGCTCCTTCAGGATCAGGCAGGTGGCGGGGGCCGGGGCGGTCACCTCGTCCTCTGAGATGTCGAAGCCCAGACGCCGAAGCATCGCCACCAGGTCTCCCCGGGACTTCTGCGACTCGTTGGTGCAGAACCTCACCTTCAGCTGGGACCGCTTCAGTCTGGAAGTGGGGAGACAGGTGGAGGGGCTGTCAGCAGGCAGTGTGGCCTGCTGCGGAGGGGGCTGGACAGGCGCTTCTCCGAGGGCGCAGGCCAGGTCGCCACGGGCCCCTGAGCTGGGCCTCGACCGACCCCGGGGGTTTTGGAGCTGGAGCAGACCATTCTCACCCTCACTGCGCTTGACACAGCTGAGGCTCCCCAAGGTTCCCGCCTGGCCTCTGCCCGCACCTCCCCTTCTGCCTGGGACACGTCCCACCCTCCCCTGGGACACATTGCCCACGCACATGCCAGCTCTCCCGCACTCGACACCTCCTCCACCACACCATGCCGCTCAGCCTCGCGGGGGTCACCTCCGAGCGTCCTGGCCACCCCTCTGGACCTCCCGTCACAACGAGCATTTCCACTTAGCAACTGAGCTGACTCTGTACCCACACTTTCCCAAATACAAAGGTCAAGGGGCCAAGCTGAGGTGTGTCTCCTCATCACTGTCACCGAAGAAAGGTTTGCCAGACAGAGTCACCAGGCACACGGGCGAGTTAACGTGAGGTGAGCCTGGGATGCGTGCAGAGTGTCAGCGGCACCGACATCCTTCCCGTCTGAGCTCACAGGAGGCTCCGCATCCCAGTTGCACCTGCGCAGGCTCACCGAATGCAAAGCCACAAAGCTGATGCCTGAAGAGACCCCAACGAAATAACATTCAACCCTTCTACAGGCAGCTATTGAGCACCTACTAAATGCCTGGCTGGGGTGGGTGCACAGAAACGCCACGGTATCCGCAGGCAGGCTCTCTGACCCCCAGAGCCCTCAGTCGGCAGGTGGGGCGGAGACCACACAAAGGAAGGGGGAATCGGGGATTGAGAACAGAGAGGTGCAGGGAAGAACCAAACAGGTGAAGAGACAGGGTGGCCAGGGAGGGTGAGAAGGTCGGGGAGGCCTCCCTGGGGAGGAGAGAGCTCCGGAGCTGAGACCCGAAGGGAAGCAAAGAGGCAAAGGCAGAGCGGCCGGCAGAAGGAAGGGTGGACCTGGTAAGCGTCAGCGCTGCAGGTGTGGCCAGGCAGGAGAGGAGGCCGGGGTGGGGGCCGAGCAAGGGGGCCAGCGGGCCGGGGGGAGTGAGAAGAGGTGGGCTGGCCACACCTCTGGCCTGGCCCAGAGCGCACAGCCCTCCCTGGGTGAACCCCGGGCCACAGCGAGGGAGCCTTCATATTTGGCATCTGCAGAAAGCACGGTGGGGGGCCACGGAAGACACCAGGCTACAAGTCAAGAGGCCCGAGAAATCCTAGGGAAAAGGTAGAGGGTCTGTAGGTCCCCTTCTCCAACCATCCTGTGGGACGCTGCCCCTACCCTGTCTCTATCCAGGTTTTTCTTTCTAACACTAATCAGTATCTCCAATCGTCTCATTTCCGTATCTGTTCACCGTCTCTCTCCTGGACCCATGTGCTCCATGCGGTCAGGAATGGGGCCTGCTGGGCGCTCCTCAGCACCCCCAGTGCTTCACACAGGGCTTGGCACACGGCAGGCCCCCGATAAGCGTTTGCTGAATGACTGAGTGATGGAAAGTCCAGATGACAGCTGGTGAGGGGGACCCTTCCTTAGGACCACGCCTACTGCTTCCCCCAAGGGTGCCCTGACGGAAACAGACAGGATTCAGTGGTGAAGACACGCATTCCCACGCTACAGTGAGCTTTCAGACCCTCTGAGCACTGGAGTGGACAGGTGCGATTTGGAAAAAAATTGGCAGATCTACTGACAACAAGGCGAACGCAGACAGAGAGGCTGACAATGTCGTAATCAATTCTTTCTTAGTATTTGTCTTTCCTAATCAGGGGGTTATGAATTATCAATTACATTTAGTGGTTAATTGCCCTTCATAAAGACAGCTTTTGTATTTTTAAATTAGGCAGTTAATACATTGTAACTAATAGCACCACCTTGTACATTACGGGCAGATCTTCATTGATTGGCACCCGGGATGTGCGATCGCACCCAAGTTAATGGAGCAGTTGAGAGAAGAAGGCAGGGGGTGCCGGGGGACTAATTATTCCTAATGGATTATGATGTGACCTTCTCAGAACAGTGAGCAATCGGTGTGACAGTGAGATGACAGTGCCTCACATCTGCTATTCCAAACACAACTTCGATGCCCATAAAAAAACGAGTAAATAACAGAACTCACTTCAGGACACTTCAGCCACTGTTCTCCTTTGAAATACAACATAAGTTCATCCAAAACACATGTTTTAAAATCAAAGTACTAGTTTTAGGATTGAATCAGTCCCTGGAAAGTGGCGGGAAATGCTTGGGGAAGGCCCCTCCCTGTGGGTCTGTCCATTCGTGCCCCCTGACCGCACCCCCTTTTGACTTTCTGGCACAAGTCCCAGGTCCTCTCTCTTCATTTTTCTTAGTTACTAAAAATAACAGAAGTAGAGCTTCCCTGGTGGCGCAGTGGTTGAGCGTCCGCCTGCCGTTGCAGGGGACACAGGTTCGTGCCCTGGTCAGGGAAGATCCCACATGCCGCGGAGCAGCTAGGCCCGTGAGCCATGGCCGCTGAGCCTGCGCGTCCGGAGCCTGTGCTCCGCAACGGGAGAGGCCACAGCAGTGAGAGGCCCGTGTACCGCAAAAAAAAAAAAACAAAAAAAACCCAGAAGTATTCATTATTATTATTAAAATAGTAAAGCATGAATACAACATTACACTGGACCTTGCCTTGGGGCTCAGTATCCATGATCTGATTTCATCCTCACCCCCTAAGGGCAGAGCCCCCTACATACACCCTGTGTCCCCTACATGCACCCCCCAGGGCCCGGTGCCTGGAGCACAGGGGGCCCTAAGCACATGTTGAGAAAACAAGCTGAGGAGGCAAGAGCCACGGTCCCCGTTCCAGAGACGACAGAACAGAGGCTCCGGGGGGCAGAGACCCGAGAAGGTCTCTCGGCTTATAACCAGCGGAGCCCACGGGCCCGCAGCTGGCCACAAGGTGGCGGCCCAGGCTCTGGTCCAGGGGGTGGAGGTGCTGGTGCTTCCCCAGTAAGGGAGGCACCTGCCGGGGCAGGCCCAGCTCGGCCCTGCTGGGCAGGACACTGAAACCTTCCCAGGGTGGGGAAGGGTGTGCATGGGGCACACATGTGCGTGCACAGGGGACAGAGTGTGAGAAGGTGGGTCAGCACTGAAGGGGAGGCCCTGAATGGCCAGGGCTATGAGCTGAACTGCGTCCCTCCCACAAAATCGTATGTCGACTCCCTCAGGAGGTAATGAAGGTTGTTAAGTGAGGACAGAAGGGTGGGGCCCTGATATGACAGGATTAGTGTGCTTATAGCAAGAGACACCAGAGATCTCCCTGCGAGCACAGAGAAGAGGCCGTGTCAGGACACGGCAGAAGGTGGCCACCGAACAAGCCATAAGAGGACTCTCGCCAGAGACCCACCCTGCCGGCCCCTCGGTCTTGGATGCCTAGGCTTCAGAACTGTGGGAAGCTAAACCTCCGTGCTGAAGCCCCCAGGCCGTGGTATTCTGTTATGGCAACCAAAGGAGCAAAAGCCTCGGCATCTCTCGGAGGGGTCTGCTGCCAGAGGTCAGATTCAGACTCGGGAGGCCTGGAACGCGAATCCAATGTCAGGAGAGCCGGAGCCAGGCGTGGCTTCAGGGCCACGGCACAGTCTGCAAAGGGCCTCCCAAGGGGAGTGAATCCAAAGGATTTCAACATCGGACTGGGCCCAGCTCCAGAACATGACATGTCACCCCATCCCCTGACACCCAAGAACCCTGGGCACAGGGGGCCCACCGCAGGGTCCTGGCAGCCCAGAGCCGGGCTCTGGCTAGACGGCCCCTCTGAGACCACGGCCTCAGTCCACTGCACCCTCCCCAGACCCCCTGAGAGGGCGGGTACTTGCCCCTACTTCCCGTGGCCGCAACGGCTCTTTGAACTGACCTTTACCTCATCCCGGAGGCCAGGACAAGCTCTGAGTGACAACGTCGCCTGATGCAATTACCGAGCATCACATGAACTGGTCCCTTGCAAATCACCTCGGACCTCACACATCTGCTGGCTGTCGGCATCTGCCAGGGGCGCTCACCCGAAAATAATGGAAACCTTCTCATTATCGCTCGGTAGCAGGTAGAGTGCTAGGACGATTATTGGACATCCTGACTGACCTTGGCATTGCTCCACAGCCTGATGCCCTCTGGGCTCGCCAAAGAGGGGCTGGGCAGGAGGCGAGGAGGCTGCCCTGGATAAGGCCCCTCCTAGCTCGGTCCCCACCCCACCCCACCCCTGCCATCTGTCACCTTCATCTGACCCAGAAGGCCCTCTCATCACCCTGAGTCTTTGCCTTCACCCTCCTCTATGGCCAAATCCTACCCATCCGTCAAAGCCTGGTTCATATGTCCCCTCCTCCAGGAAGCCCCCCAGACCCCAGCCCCTGCCCGGGCAGAGCCCGTCCTCTTTCCACTTGGCTTTCACAGCCCTTGAAGCACAGCAGTGCTTTTCTATGAGAAGCACTTAACTGATCCAAACTCTGGATTTGATGGGCCCACCTGGTAATGCAACCAAGTCATTCTGCTTTCCAGAGAACTTCAGGAAGAAACCCCACGCTCACTGCCGATCCTGCCTGTGGACGGCACTGCTCCAGCGCCCGTCTCTAATCCTTCCTGGGGCAAGGTTGTTAAAGGGTTCCAGAAGAGAAAGCACAGTGGAGCCGGAGGATGGGCCTAGGCACAAGGGGGAGGAGTGAGTCACGCCTTCTGCAGGCGGGGGAACAAATGCCTAAGAAAGATGCTCTAATACCGAGCGGGAGGCCAGGTGGCCGAGAGGCGACCAGGAAGTGCTTCAGAGTCTGATGACTGTGGGCTGGTCCCGGCTCTGCCACTTAATGGCTGTGGGACCTCCACAAGCTGTTTCTTCTCTCTGTGGCTCAGTTTCCTCACCTGGAAAATGGGGATGAAAACAGCCTCACATTGTGAGGCTCCAAGGAGACCTGCAGTGCGCTTGCTCGGGCCTGGCCCACAG